TCTCAGACAAAAATAGTTGGGACAGTTAACGCAAAAGCCTTTTTTTCCCTTCCCGTGCTTCCCTTTTCCCTCCCAATGTTGTTTATTGCGATTCAGTCGGCAAATCGTGTACACCAACATTGAAGGGAGGAGAACACACAAAAACGTCCCAACAATTTTGTCTGAGACTGTGTTTTAGAGGAATTTTGGGAATGTGACTACTCAAAGGGTCTACTGGCGGGAAATCATGAGGGATGTATACATATGCGTAGGACTGTTTCGCGAAGTCCAAAAAAGACATTTAACGGTAGAACAAAATCAGGCCATGAAATAAAGTGTCTTTATTGTATTATAAGGCAGATTTTGAGATTTTCTGGGGAAAATATTTGTAATGTAGGAAGTTTTTGAGGTATGCCGAACTCATGTCTTCACAATTTTCATGACTGGCAGATACGCGCTAGTTCCTGAATTGTAAACAAATAGATCGAATTATAATATACAGATTGTTGAAGTGATCATGTAGTGTCAACATGGCCGATTCTAGTGCTGGCGTGTGTGAAACAAACTGCGTTTCTGATGTGAGCGAAGTGGACAGCGCAGACACTGAGAGTTTGAGTTCGCGAGATGTGAGACGAGTGTACCTCATAACCTATAGTCAGGCCAACTTAGAGATTGTCCCTACACGAGAGGCCTTTGCACATATTATATTAGACGCATTTGATAACGCAGTTCCCGGGTCGAATGCCACAGTGATGCATTGGGTATGTAGTCAGGAAAGTCATGCAGATGGCGGTTTACATTATCATATGGCGGTGAAACTGAGCGGTCGAAGACGGTGGCTGCGTGTGAGGAACTATATTGACCAGGAGTACGGAGTCAAAGTCAACTTTAGTGACAGACATGACAATTATTACAGCGCCTGGAGGTATACAACCAAGGAAGATAGTTCATCAGTACAGTCCACGAATCATCCCGATCTGCAAAATGATGGGGCGCCAATAACGACAAATGCAAGTTGCGCATTACGGGAAAGACGCCTTGCAGAAGGTGATGAAGATACCAGTAATAAAAAAGGCAAGCGAAAGAGGTCATTGTCCATATTTGATGTATCGCAAATTGCAGTTGAGCGGCGGATTAAAACGCGTTTGGAGTTAGTGGCGTTAGCAAGTCAGCAAAAAAGAGAGGGGAAAACTGACCTGGCGCAATTTATAGCAAACAGAAGTTCCAAAGCGGTTGAGGAAGCTCTTAGTGTAGGTTGGGAGATGGAAAATGCAGAGTCAGAGTTGGCACGCAGCAAGTTATCACGGGTAGAAATTGTGTACCGCGAGCTAGAGAGCCCATGTGTAGACGGTTGTCAGGGAAAATGGCTAGAGATGGCTGAACAAGTATTGCAGCGTAATGGTATTAGCCGAGAGGAATTTTCGGAGGCAGTGAGAAATCTTTTACAGCAGGGCCGTGGCAAGTACAGAAACGTATTTTTGAAAGGACCGGCTAATTGTGGGAAAACATTTCTGCTGAACCCGTTGAATACCGTGTTTAAAACTTTCACAAACCCAGCTACTACCACATTTGCATGGTTAGGTGCGGAAACTGCGGAAGTTATCTTTTTAAATGATTTCCGGTGGTGCTCTCAAATCATACCGTGGCACGATCTGTTACTTTTATTAGAGGGGCAAAAAGTACATCTTCCTGCTCCGAAAACGCACTTTTCTCAGGACATCGAGTTTACCCGTGATACTCCGATTTTTTGTACCAGTAAAGAGGAACTCAGTTTCGTGCGCGGCGGAGTACTTGACGAAAGGGAATCGCAGATGATGAGAGTTCGTTGGAGGGTTTTCGCCCTACAGAGCCCAATTCCCGAGGAAGAGCAACGAATTACCCCTAACTGCCCCCACTGTTTTGCAAAACTGATCTTCCCACAAATATAGTGAAGGGATGGTTACATGTTTATCGGGTCACCATCACGGGTCACCGTACTTTACCGGGCCTTTACTATGACCTGTTGAGTAAAAACAATTGAATCAAAAAGTCAAACACAAGTGTGTTTCACAGAAAAATGAAAATGCCGGTATTCAGCGCTGTTTGATACACACAAGAGAAGTTATTTACATTTGGAGCATGGTGACACAGTTTTTCGGTGCTACGTGCTACTTTGTTAATTGAGTTAAAGTACGGTGACCCGTGTACACTTTAGTGCAAGGCCTGTTTTTGGCATTAGCAGGGCAGATGTTTCCGTCTTTTGCGATGAGTCATCAGTTATATGGATTTTCCCTCTTTTAGGGCAGTTTTTTTGGGTTGTGTGACTATTTTATTCCGTGTATATTTGCTCATAACTTTGACAATCGATGTCACCATTTGGAGTTAAGCCAAAATACTGTGTAAACACAACATCTCGAAATTTTGCGATTTAACACCTGCTCTTTTGTATAGCTATGATCTTGAGGACTTCCTTTGTGTTTGACCCTTTCAAAGGGAAAAAAAACATTCTCATGGGCTCAAAGAAAATGGTACATAAGTGATGTTTTTGGGATAGTAGAGCAACTTGAACACATTATTGGTATATTTATTCATATTGAAGCACACGCGTACCATGTCTGTTGTGTTTACTTAAGAATTTATTATGTCAAGAGCGTTTACAAGTGATACACTTTAGTTAATTGTCCCTCACATAAGAAGTTTCCCCTTTTAGTTAGAACTATACTGTTAGTACAGCAAGGAAAATATACTTTGTTTAATACATTTGTAACATTCAATATTTTATTCGCCCTCCCTTTACAGTAATAAGCTGTAAAATACGCGACGACATAGAGGAAATAAGCTTATTAATAGTCCCTATCGGTATGGAATAAAAGGTGTTACTAACTCGTGCCTCGAACTCACTATACGACTCCCTCGTAATCTGGCGTTGAGTGGCCTGTTTCTCTAGTTTACGAGCAACCACAGGGAAAAGATTTTCATGGCAAAGAACGTCAGCACATCGCGCTGGAAACTTTAGTAAATTTGCACGGGTTCTCCTCAGGGCTGCTTTAGCCAACACGGAATTCTGACATGGACAATTGTCTTGTACAAATAAGTTCTCTCCCCCCTTATCTGCCTGCAGAAACATTCCCGGGAAATATTCATCGATAAAATTGGCAAATAAACGGCCAGTCATTTTCCTGTATGGATAACAAGCAATTATACCCTTATCATACGATATAGCTACTATAAGTCTGACATATCTTCCGCCAGTTCCTTCTTTCTTGCCTTTTGCCAAGCAGCCAGTTGTAAGACCTTCGCCACGTTTTCGCCATATTCGTGCCTTGGGAGCCAAAGCCTGATCCAATGGATTTCTCTTGTACACATAAGACACACAATCCAGATAGAAAGCTATCCGTTTAGTCCAGACGTCGGCTCCATAGTGTTTTCGCATTCGTCGCGCAAACTGTAGCCTTTTCTTCATATCTGTGACTGTTAGAACACCCTTTTTACGCGCTTGAAGATAATAGTACCCTTGCGAATTTAGAAAGCGGGACACTGTTCTAACTGATACATCCTTGACAGAAATACCGGCTTCTTGCATAATTCTTTGACACGAAAAATTGCCCTCTTTCTCTCGAAGTCTTTGAATGGCTCGCACCAACTGCCTCCCATGTCTTGCGCTTAATTTCACAGGTCTTCCCCTTCGTATGTGTTCCTTAGAGTCTTTGTTACCGAGAAGGCCTTCTTTTTTGATTCTCCACACGCTTCCTCTAGAAATCTGACACATTCGAGCGACTTTCCGTATGGGAAAACCCTGGATGTTACAGAGATAGTACGCACGTGCTCGTGTCACGCTATTAATTGTGCCCTTAAAAACCATTTTGCTTTTTTGTCAATATATCGTTCCAAAAAAACTATCGGTCTACTAACTGCTTATTCTCAGTCTTGCGGGTCTCTTTTTATTACATGTAAATTCCCAAAATAGTAACTACTGCAGTCCATTACATCAGTTCACTGCAAATTGAATCTTTAGCAAATCACCCCGCATGGAACGTCACAGCTCACTAAACTCCATCACATACGTACGAACTATAAATTAATCTTGTTATCTGTTGCAATGCTTCAAATTCCTCTCTGACACAGTCTCAGACAAAAATAGTTGGGACAGTTAACGCAAAAGCCTTTTTTTCCCTTCCCGTGCTTCCCTTTTCCCTCCCAATGTTGTTTATTGCGATTCAGTCGGCAAATCGTGTACACCAACATTGAAGGGAGGAGAACACACAAAAACGTCCCAACAATTTTGTCTGAGACTGTAGCAACTCTCTCGAACAATAGGATTTCAGAGATTTTGAGATATAATTCGTCTGGTATTGTGAGAATACATTACTATAATCCATTGGCTGCTACATCCACTACAGGTCTTAAATACAGGTCACTTTCGCTGACTGGTCAGAGCACAGGTCACCATGCCTATGAAAGAACACTTATTTATTAACCAGTAACGCCTACCTTTCGAAGCCGAAGATTGATGGCGTAAACTTTTACTTTATACCTCGCACACCGGAATAAGAAACACCATATTGAAGGTCCTACCTTTCAAAGGTAAGCATATCTGTCACTAAGGATTTAACCACACTAAAAGCTGACTACAAACTCGGCTTCTGTGTAGAGATGGATGTTCTTGACGTGCCTTTTATGATAAATGACTCCAAGGCAGGCAAGGGGTAGTCAACGCGAAGAAAATTTCCAGCAAACGTCAGCTTGAATTTCATGCGATTAATTCCAGTAAGCAAACGTCTACTGAGAACCTGGACTGTTTCGTTGTTTTGACTTCATGTATACACCGTATTCATAAATGGCGGCCGCGCGGAACAGCCTGGTTTCGAATGCATGAATGCGAGGCTTGGTAGGCCAGAGAATGCAGACTTATATTTTATTCAGGCTTTGTGACTAAAATTTCTCATAAAATATTGTTGAAATCGTCGCTATTTTCGGAGGATATAGGCAGAAAATCGTTTTCATCGTCGATTTCCAGCGCGGAAAGGCTGAGAGATGCCAACAAATTGCTGTGTGCCGCTCTGTAGGAAGAAGGGCCAGTGGGACAAGGAGACGGGTGAAAAAATTTCTTTTTTTCGCTTTCCTGAGGAAGAAAACCTCAAAAAGCAATGGATTCATGCTATAAGGAGACATGTTGGACCGAATTTTTCAATAAACAAGGGAACCCGAGTTTGTTCGAGGCATTTCAGAGGGGAAGATTTGCAGAGAAGTCTCAGTGGAAAAGTTAGCCCCAGAACAGGAGCTGTGCCGAGTAAATTCGCATGGAAGCGAAGTTCGCCTCGCAAACGAGCACCACTGACACCACGCTTCTACTTATACAGGGACTTATACAGGGCAAGCACGCCAGCTGTGTTACAATATATGTTTTAGCAGAATTCTCATCAATGACCTTTTTTAAAACGTTTTCGTAGCCGGTTCAATTGCAAGTGCCAGACCACTTAGAAGAGGAAGAGGAAGGAGCAACTGATAGATACGTCCGGAGGTTAAAATAACCTTAAAGAATTAGGCCCCTTTGAACGACACACATCAACCAGAAGTTGATTAGTGCATCTTTAGGCAGTGGTTCCAGACAATTCGTCTCCAAAACAGTTTAAGACACTTAATTTCAAGGTATATTAATACAATGAGACACGGGCCTGACTTTAGTATTTAACAATATTAGGGGGAAATTGGAAAGTGAACTTGTGCCACTTGACCATGTTTTTCCCTTTACTTCATGTTACTTGTATTTAACTGTTCTTTAGTTGTACAACAAATAAATAGTTTCACGTTATTTTGACTACAACAATTGCTTTAGACTGTTTCTACCACTTGATTTTCTCTTTGATTAAAGGCACAACTTCAGTCTGCCCGTTATCGCATTAGGCCCTGTTTACAAGGTGGGAGGGTAACCCTGGTGCTAGGGTGACCGTAGCAAGAGAGTTACCCTCCCCGCCTTGTAAACACTCAGCTAGGGATAACTTGACAACCGGGGTTAACTTTATGCCGTCATGGGTTACCAGTAATCGTACCAAATTGAATGATATTATCCAATTTCGGAGCTTAATTGTAAACACCTAAATCATAACAAGTTATTTTCTGTCTACGATGATAATATTTTCCCTTCTTTAGTGAATTTCATGTGTTTTCCATAGAGAACTTCAAGATTATTTCAAAGTTTGGACCGTTGCAAAGAATGTCACACATCACAAAACACGTCAGCAAAGCTGGAAAAGTTGAACCGGGTGATAGGGTAACCCTACCTGTGAAAATTGCTTGTAAACCTGACCCGCTTGCTAGGGTAACCCTAGCACAAGGTAACCCTCTCTCCTTATAAACAGGCCCTTAGCAATTGGAATTCCGCCAAGGAGGGTGATTCGAAAATGTTTTGCAAATGCATAATCTAGTGTTATGCACCTTTCACTCAGTCATACATTAAAAACAGCTTGTTAAGAGCACTAGTTATTTTTTTCGCACCTATGGATGTAAAGTTAACTATTAATTTTTCAGTGGGTCAAACACCCATCATAAGTAGAACTGAACAGAATATGACAAAAACTCCTTTTGTTCATTTTATTCATTACAACCTCTACAAACCTTAATCTGTAATAATCTGTGTTTCTTAACAGGGTGTTACAGGTGCAATGGTAAGGGGCACACAGCCCATGTGTGCTCCTCACGCGTGGTAGAAGATGAACTGCAGGGTAAGGAGGTGTATTAGTGGGGACTTATGTTACTGTTAGGGCTATCCAGTGATAAATAATAATAATTGTAATGGGAATAAGTGGAGTCCAACTTTGTCTGTACATGAGTGAAGTTCTCTTAATAACAAATGATGATGGTTATACCAAACATTATGATGTTTAAAGCTTATTGAAGATTAGGACCTCACAAATATTCTGAAAGCTTTTTGCTCATAGTGAATAGAAAA